CTTCACGAGATTTTTTTAAAATCTGATAATTTGCTGAATTCCATGTTCTTGTTTCAAGGTGAATAAACGTGCAATGCAATGATTTGGTTCTGGAGAGTCGTCTTAATAAACCGAGTCCTCAGTGATGCCTCTACACAGCTTTTATCGATGACGAAAATTCAAACAGGATTTAAAAGATTACCTATTACCATCTAACCTCTAGTTAAGGAATCACATGATTAAGCTTTTGTTTTGGTCGCCATATCCAAAATTTAACTAATTTTTTAGAGAGGTACCAACCCCCCTAACGGGAGCTTCATTTTCATCGCTACGTTTTGTTGTCGTTTCATACACGATAAAATTCAAACAGGTTTTATAAAGGTGGTTCATTACCATCTAACCTTTGGTTAAGGAATCACATAGTTGAGTTTGGCCACCGTTTCCAAAATTTAGCCAATTTTCAAGAAGGCACTTACCCCCTAACGGGAACTTCATGTTCATCGCTACGTTTTGTTGTCGTTTCATACATGATAAAATTAATGATTCTTCGCCGTGTAAAAAACAATAGTAATCTAAGATAGGGAGTAGGTTACGTTAAACTGAAACAAATGAAAATGGTCTCGTTCCCTCAAACTGGACAAAATGCCGGTTATTAGCGACTAAAAATCACTCCTTTTAGCCACTGTTTCTTGGTTATCTTGCCTTCTAGAAAAAAATTCTCAGTGGCAGTCCGGAATTTCATTTAAATTCAATTTGTATTGAAAATTCTCCCGAAAGAAAATGGCTTGGAAGAAAATAAAATGAAACTGGGTGGTCAGATAAACAGATCTGCTAATTCATTCAATAATTCATTAAACGTAAAAATAGGTGAGAATTCTTGCGGAAAATTACCTGATCTTTTAAAGACACTGTTACAAAATAGAACCTTGGAAGTGAAAAAGATAACTTTCTTTTTATCTACGCTTTAGGAATTTCCTTTTTTTTTTTTCTGCATTTCAACCTCCGTGATGTTGTTTATGGCAACAGATGTATCTCATATAAAATTTACTTGCGCAATACAAATATTCTGATCCGTATTGGTCAAAAAAAAAAACAGACGTGATGAATACAATTAAATAATTACTCTTAAGTAATTTCAGCGAGAATTTTAGAAGTATTCCAAGAAACCCCATCCTGAGGATAGACTACTCGGTAAGTTTAACTGAAGCTTTACAATTGATCTCCTATTAACTCTTCAGATATTATCCCTTTCACTTAGTTAAAAAAAATAATCGTCCTCCTGAGGCTCTCCTAAACCACAGGATTTTCGGGCGTTTTAATGGCCACCTCTCTTCAAGTAAACAGTTTCAAGAGCTTTGATCTACACATGCTCTGTTGGACAAGATTTGTTCATAGATGGGTGGCTGTGTAAACTCTCCTTGCTGTAAACGTTCTTTACCTTTACTTACTGGAGTGTATTCGCTTCCAAGTTCAGATCACAAATTTTTTAACGCTTCGTAAGCTCGAGAACTCATTACGCAAAATTTTGGAATCTGATGTAACCTTGAAGAATCGAGAATTCTTTAGCATATTTGCCTATCATCTGGCTGATCGAGAAGTTTATGATTACCGCGCTAAAAACAGTTTTAAAAAAAGGACGCTAATTTTTAAAGGCGGATTTGGCGGGGTAGAGGTTCCGGTAAAGTTTTGTTTCGGATCAGAAACTCGAAAACAGAGCAATAATAGGGAAGACGAATGTAACGGATAAAATTTGTAAGTTTTCGTCTAGTCTCGCTATCGGTTGCTTTCCCCGTAAATCAATTGAGCGCAAGGTTTTTCGATTCACTTATAAACTTTCAGTGTAAGCAAAGTGAAAAGAAACATTGAAACTGCAAAGAAGCATTCACTAGACTCTGTGATTTCTTAAATCAAGTCAAAAAGCTCTTTTCACGGCAAGTTTAGACAGTTTTTTTTTCTGCTTAGCTTTTGTTGCAATCAATTTACCTTAAGTCATAGCTATATCAATTTTTAAAAAGGAATATGAATGGTGGTAAAATCAGACCGGCCTGATGAAAAGGTTCGTTTATCAACCAGTGCTCTCCGGCTGGCTCATACAAATCTATCATTCTCATGAAATATTTCATCAGCAATTGGTAAGAACTCCCATTACATTTTCTGTTTCGTTCTGTTAAAATTAACCCTGTAGAGAGCGTGATGCCCAGCAATGGAAAGCATCTCGAATGTGTATGAGACAAAATATTAACAAGTTCTTTGTTCACAATGAAACTGAAATTGAAGGAAGTTATTCTTGCATGTACAAACAATCCTATGTTATATGACAAACTAAAACTGCTTATTTACGTCCTTTATTGGTAATATGAGGAGGTAAAACTACGCCTAATGGCAATGATAAAGGGGCCGTTAAACCATAATACTTCAGAACTATTTGAAGTGAAAAAGATATTTCGTCCATTTTATATCTCCTTTTTTCAGATATTTCCTCTCTATACTATTTGTTTCTATATCTGTACACGGCTCCATGTAACTAATAAATAACATAAAAATTGTTTGCATCTCGTAAAATAAATATTATATGCGGTTCTTATTTTATCAATATCGCAATAAATAGTCCGCCAAGGAAAGACCCAGAGGTAAGTTTAATTCACTCGCTCATTACCTGCTATTACAATGTTATTCTCACCATCGAAAAAACAAAGAATTTCTTAATCGGGCATCAATGAAAGGATACTAAAGCATTGCATATCAAATATATTATTTCCGTCACATACAGCTTTAAACTTAGATCACCTGTAAAACTAACTGGAGTGCAGAAAAGAAGTGAAAAGTGACGCCAAAAGTTCAGTACAAGTTGCTCTTATGCATATTAAAAGTATAACTCACCATGAAAGAAACGCATCTTCATATTTCAATTTCGATTCTTCCCTTAATTGGGAGGTTTAATACCGACATGATGTATTTGACTTTATACAATTATTTTATCTTTCTTTTTCTTTTTTTTCGCGTCTCTCTTTATTCTGAATTAGTTAATTACGAGATATCTCAAAAAAAAAAAACTACACCTCGAGAAGACATATGAATTCCCAAACCTCTGATATCGTAGAGAAAGCCCCCCAGTGTAGAAAAGTAAAGAGAACTTTCAACTTCTCGAAATGAAAGTTTTTCTCGACAAAGAGTAAATTTTTCAAATTTTTGATTGACGTTTTTAAGCTACATATTGATAATAATTGTCCAACAATCAATCAAATGCAACCTAAACTTCTGAAATTTATTTGAATATTTGCACAATTAGACTAGCGCGTTCATATAAAGGTTTTTTTTTATTTAAACTGTCCTGCTAGCGTAGTCAGTTTCTGGGTTAAATCCAATGATCTCATGAAATGATTCTATAATAATTGATACGAAATCCCTAATAGGTCCTATTCGTTTTGTTTAAATCAGTTTTCTAAAGAACTTTGTACCGACTAATGGAAAGCATCCTAAATTTGCGTTTCTTATTCGCCAAATTGTACAACGAAAACATTCCGTGAGTAACATAACCATGAATATAACATTTATTAATAATTAGACAGAAATTGGAAAAACATATTCTGGCACGAAGAAACAGACCCATGTGGCATGACAAACGAACAAAAATGTAATTATTAAAATTTTGTAATGCAAATATTTTACACCATGTTGGGCAAAACAGTACCTGGCTCTCATTTTAGTAATGCCGCTAGTAACAGTCCGGTAAGCAAAGAAAGGTAGGTGAGTTTCATTCAATGTCCCACTAAGTACCGTTCAATCGTTATTTTACATTAAAACTAAGATAAAGTGAGACTGAATTACCAAAGGTTATCAACCGAACGATTTTAAAGCATCTTATAGCAACCATTTTTCCGTAATAAACAGGATCAATTGAACGCCTTGCAAAACCCTATCGGGAGTAGAGAAGAGACATTAAGAGTAACAACAAAAGTATTGTACAAGTTGTACTTATAGCTGGTAAAAGTATTTTAAGTACGCTTTTACTAAAGGCACCAAGGACTCTCGACCTGTGTTTTCTCAGTCTTTTTATATATCTTTTCTGTAAAACGACCTTAGTAATACCTACAACAAACTCACTTCAATCTGGTTAACTCTGGGCGTTTCCCTAACTCTGTTTCCCTCCTCACTCTTTCTAACTCACTGATTCTCACTCTTCAATTTCTTACTGACTGTTAACTGTAAACTGTAAACTCTCAAATGCTTAAATACTCGCTATTGGTAGGCATGAGTGGGCATGCTGGCTAACTTATCTTGGAAGATTAGGCATTTGTTGTTAGTATTCTATAACTGTCATGCATTAAAAAAAACTCTCACAAATGAACAACTTCACACTTGAATGTTTCTCATCAGCCAAATCAGTCTTTCTCTGGGTTCATATGGCACCATGTTTTCTTTTACATGGGGCTTCCTGCTCTGTGCGCTTGAGCTCTGCTGACATTTATTCGTGATTTAAACGGGATACGCTGCCACTCCGGTAATCTGCTGTCTAAAGGCAAATATCATCTGCTAATACATGGTAGCAGGATTGTTCCATCAGACCACAAAATCTGCAAATAGTTTCCCTTTACCAACAAAATAACAATGCAATTATCAACTGGGATGTCAGCTGTTTATGTGAAAATAAAAAAGAAGCAGCTGACGCAATTTTATTCTATTTCAGCACCTACAACAAGAAAATATGCAGTCATCATTAAGATATATCCTCACACTACTTGTTTTGAGCGTGAATATTTTTTGTGGTAAGTACTTAATGCTTGTTTTCAAGCTTAAGATTATATGCTCGGAGAGTATGAAATATACTGTCTTGGTCCTAGTTCATTCTCATGATGAGTTTAAAGGAGACACTTGCAAAAACGCAGGTCAGAAAACGCAGGTCAATTAAATCAGTGAATTGATCAGTGCTGCAGTTATCGTAGGATAATCGACTTATGGATTTGTAGATTCTCCTGCACGGAGGGTATCATAATTATTCTGATTCTTCCAAAGGGCTCCCTTGTCCACCTGGCAAAAAGACGGACGATCCTCAAGGCCGTTGCTGTGTTTTTCCTTTTGAGTATGGAGGAGTAACTTACCAATCTTGTACCAACGGATGGTGTTCCTTTGACGAAGTTTACGTGGGAAACTGGGCTAACTGCGGTAAGGAATAAAAGTTAAATTCAATAAAGAAGTTTTTTGAACGATTATTGCCTTTATTGACCGGCTGTAAGAAACACAATAGCATTCAACGCTAACCCTTCACAATATCGACAATCTCCTTTCAGCATTATAAGACAGATTGTTTTTCCATAATATCTAAGCGACTGTTGATAAAAACAGGTAACTTTTCCGATTATGCTGACAGGGAGAGTTAAACGAAAACTGGTTCAGAGTTAGCTTTCAATCCTCTTTGCTACTAAAGAAGCTTGTGTTGACTCAAAAACATTTATGGAGTGGATATTGGTTACCCTCTTCCGTACAACATGTAGGGGGGAATAAAAATGCCAAATACTGTTTTGGGACATTGAGGTTGTGATTTGTTCATGTGCCAATTTTTCAAAATAGTCTATTGGATGTTTTAGTTGATAGTCAACGAAGTGTGTTTGGTTTCCCTCAGCGAGCCACAAAATTTTCACTAGACACAAGTCATTACCTTTGATGTGTCAATAGCACCTAAATACCTTTGCAGATTTCATTTCCTGAGATGAATCCCTCCATATTTAGGGTAATTTTCTGTGTGGAAAACAAATCCACCTACCTCAACAAATAAATAACCGAGGCCGCCTAATGCAAAGTTTTGTTATGAACCCTAGTGAACCCGTGCACAAACAACCCTTGCCAAAATGGGGGAGACTGCACAGTAACTGGAGATGATTCTTACAGCTGTAAATGTGCCGACGGATATTATGGAGAAACGTGTGAAAAAGGTACAGGCACAATAAATATGATCATTTTAGATATTTCTTGAACATAGAGGCGACTAATTTACCAATCATAACGGACTTCTACTCTGCCAATATAATGTTTCGTTTCCTCAGTGAGCCCCTGTAAATCACATCCATGTAAAAATGGTGGAACATGCACAATGACGGGTCTTGATTCATTCTCATGCAAATGCACTGATGACTTTGAAGGAGACACCTGCGAAAAGCGTAAGTAAACTTTTAACAGTACATCAGTTATATTCAACGAGTGCTTTTGTGCTTGTGTAGATTTATTTCGTAAAGAACGTAACACAATTATTGTGATTCTTCTACAGGGCTCCCTTGTCCACCTGGCAAAAAGACGGACGATCCTCAAGGCCGTTGCTGTGTTTTTCCTTTTGAGTATGGAGGAGTAACTTACCAATCTTGTACAAACGGATGGTGTTCATTTGACGAAGTTTACGTGGGAAACTGGGCTAACTGCGGTAAGGAATAAATGTTACAAATTTAGCAATATTAAATTCAATAAAGAAGTTTTTTGAAACGATTATTACCTTTATTGACCAGCTATAAGAAACAAAATAGCATTCAACGCTAACCCTTCACAATATCGACAATCTCCTTTCAGGATTATAAGACAGTTTGTTTTTCCATAAAATCTAAGCGACTGTTGATAAAAACAGGTAACTTTTCCGATTATGCTGACAGGGAGAGTTAAACTGAAACTGGTTCAGAGTTAGCTTTCAATCCTCTCTGCTACTTAACAAGGTTGTGTTGACTCAAAAACATTTATGGAGTGGATATTGGTTACCCTATTCCGTACAACATGTAAGGGGGAGTAAAAATGCTAAATACTGTTTTGAGAGCTTGAGGTTATGATTTGTTCATGTGCCAATTTTTCAAAATAGTCTATTGGATGTTTTAGTTGATAGTCAACGAAGTGTGTTTGGTTTCCCTCAGCGAGCCACAAAATTTTCACTAGACACAAGTCATTACCTTTAATGTGTCAATAGCACCTAAATACCTTTGGAGATTTCATTTCCTGAGATGAATCCCTCCATATCTAAGGTAATTTTCTGTGTAGAAAACAAATCCACCTACCTCAACAAATAAATAACCGAGGCCGCCTAATGCAAAGCTTTGTTATGAACCCTAGTGAACCCGTGTACAAACAACCCTTGCCAAAATGGGGGAGACTGAACAGTAACTGGAGATGATTCTTACAGCTGTAAATGTGCCGACGGATATTATGGAGAATCTTGTGGAAAAGGTACAAGCATGATAAATATGATCGTTTTAGACATTTTTTTGCGCGTAGAGGCGACTAATTTGCCAATTATAACGGACTACTACTCTGCCAATCATGATGTTTCCTTTCCTCAGTGAGCCCCTGTAAATCACATCCATGTAAAAATGGTGGAACATGCACAATGACGGGTCTTGATTCATTCTCATGCAAATGCACTGATGACTTTGAAGGAGACACCTGCGATAAGCGTGAGTAAACTTTTAACAGTACATTAGTTATGATCAACAAATACTTTTGGGCATGTGTAGATTTATTTCGTAAAGAACGTAACACAATTATTCTGATTCTTCTACAGGGCTCCCTTGTCTACCTGGCAAAAAGACGGACGATCCTCAAGGCCGTTGCTGTGTTTTTCCTTTTGAGTATGGAGGAGTAACTTACCAATCTTGTACCAACGGATGGTGTTCATTTGACGAAGTTTACGTGGGAAACTGGGCTAACTGCGGTAAGGAATAAATGTTACAAATTTAGCAATATTAAATTCAATAAAGAAGTTTTTTGAAACGATTATTACCTTTATTGACCAGCTATAAGAAACAAAATAGCATTCAACGCTAACCCTTCACAATATCGACAATCTCCTTTCAGGATTATAAGACAGTTTGTTTTTCCATAAAATCCAAGCAACTGTTAATAAAAACAGGTAACTTTTCCGATTATGCTGACAGGGAGAGTTAAACGAAAACTGATTTAGAGTTAGCTTTCAATCCTCTTTGCTACTTAACAAGCTTGTGTTGACTCAAAAACATTTATGGAGTGGATATTGGTTACCCTCTTCAGTACAACATGTAGGGGGGAGTAAAATGCTAAATACTGCTTTGAGAGCTTGAGGTTGTGATTTGGTCATGTGCCAATTTTTCAAAATAGTCTATTGGAATTTTTTGGTTGATAATCAACGAAGTGTGTTTGGTTTCCCTCAGAGAGCCACAAAATTTTCACTAGACACAAGTCATTACCTTTGATGTGTCAATAGCAACTAAATACCTTTGCAGATTTAATTTCCTGAGATGAATCCCTCCATATCTAAGGTAATTTTCTGTGTGGAAAACAAATCCACCTACCTCAACAAATAAATAACCGAGGCCGCCTAATGCAAAGTTTTGTTATGAACCCTAGTGAACCCGTGCACAAAGAGCCCTTGCCAAAATGGGGGAGACTGCACAGTAACTGGAGATGATTCTTACAGCTGTAACTGTGCTGACGGATATTATGGAGAATCTTGTGAAAAAGGTACAGGCACGATAAATATGATTATTTTAGACATTTCTTGAACATAGAGGCGACTAATTTGCCAATTATAACGGACTACTACTCTGCCAATCATAATGTTTCATTTCCTCAGTGAGCCCCTGTAAATCACATCCATGTAAAAATGGTGGAACATGCATAATGACGGGTCTTGATTCATTCTCATGCAAATGCACTGATGACTTTGAAGGAGACACCTGCGAAAAGCGTGAGTAAACTTTTAACAGTACATTAGTTATGATCAACAAATACTTTTGGGCATGTGTAGATTTATTTCGTAAAGAACGTAACACAATTATTCTGATTCTTCCACAGGACTCCCTTGTCTACCTGGCAAAAAGACGGACGATCCTCAAGGCCGTTGCTGTGTTTTTCCTTTTGAGTATGGAGGAGTAACTTACCAATCTTGTACCAACGGATGGTGTTCATTTGACGAAGTTTACGTGGGAAACTGGGCTAACTGCGGTAAGGAATAAAAGTTACAAGTTTAGCAATATTAAATTCAATAAAGAAGTTTTTTGAAACGATTATTACCCTTATTGACCGGCTGTAAGAAACAAAATAGCATTCAACGCTAACCCTTCACAATATCGACAATCTCCTTTCAGCATTATAAGACAGTTTGTTTTTCCATAATATCTAAGCGACTGTTGATAAAAACAGGCAACTTTTCCGATTATGCTGACAGGGAGAGTTAAACGAAAACTGGTTCAGAGTTAGCTTTCAATCCTCTCTGCTACTTAACAAGGTTGTGTTGACTCAAAAACGTTTATGGAGTTGATATGGGTTACCCTCTTCCGTGCAACATGTAGGAGGGAGAAAAAAGCTAGTACTGTTTTGAGAGCTTGAGGTTGTGATCTGTTCATGTGTTCATAGGATTTGTTTCCTAAAATAAAGCCCTCCGTATTTAAGGTAATTTTCTGTGTGGAAAACAAATCCACCTACCTCAACAAATAAATAACCGAGGCCGCCTAATGCAAAGTTTTGTTATGAACCCTAGTGAACCCGTGCACAAAGAGCCCTTGCCAAAATGGGGGAGACTGCACAGTAACTGGAGATGATTCTTACAGCTGTAAATGTGCCGACGGATATTATGGAGAATCTTGTGAAAAAGGTATAAGCATGATAAATGTGATCGTTTTAGACATTTGTTGCACATAGAGGCGACTAATTTGCCAATCATAACGGACCACTACTCTGCCGATATTATGTTTCGTTTCCTCAGTGAGCCCTTGTAAATCACATCCCTGTAAAAATGGTGGAACATGCACAATGACGGGTTTTGATTCATTCTGGTGCAAATGCACTGATGATTTTGAAGGAGACACCTGCGAAAAGCGTGAGTAAACTTTTAACAGTACATCAGATCTGTTCAACGAATGCTTTTGTGCATGTGTAGATTTGTTTCGTAAAGAACGTAACACAATTATTCTAATTTTTCTACAGGGCTCCCTTGTCTACCTGGCAAAAAGACGGACGATCCTCAAGGCCGTTGCTGTGTTTTTCCTTTTGAGTATGGAGGAGTAACTTACCAATCTTGTACCAACGGATGGTGTTCATTTGACGAAGTTTACGTGGGAAACTGGGCTAACTGCGGTAAGGAATAAAAGTTACAAGTTTAGCAATATTAAATTCAATAAAGAAGTTTTTTAAAACAATTATTACCCTTATTGACCGGCTGTAAGAAACAAAATAGCATTCAACGCTAATCTTTCACAACATTGACTGTCTTTTCTCAGCTTTTTAAGATAGTTTGTTTTTCCATAAAATCTAAGCGACTGTTGATAAAACAGGCAACTTTTCCGATTATGCTGACAGGGAGGGTTAAACGAAAACTGGTTCAGGGCTAGCTTTCAATCCTCTCTGCTACTTAACAAGGTTGTGTTGACTCAAAAACGTTTATGGAGTTGATATTGGTTACCCTCTTCCTTACAACATGTAGGAGGAAGAAAAATGCTAAATACTGTTTTGAGAGCTTGAGGTTGCGATTTGTTCATGTGGCAATTTTTCAAAATACTCTACTGGAAGTTTTAGTTGATAGTCAACGAAGTGTGTTTGGTTTCCCTCAGCGAGCCACAAAATTTTCACTAGACACAAATCACTACCTTTGATGTGTCAATAGCACTTAAATACCTTTGCATATTTCATTTCCTGAGATAAAGCCCTCCATGTTTAAGGTAATTTTCTGTGTGGAAAACAAATCCACCTACCTCAACAAATAAATAACCGAGGCCGCCTAATGCAAAGTTTTGTTATGAACCCTAGTGAACCCGTGCACAAAGAGCCCTTGCCAAAATGGGGGAGACTGCACAGTAACTGGAGATGATTCTTACAGCTGTAAATGTGCCGACGGATATTATGGAGAAACTTGTGAAAAAGGTATAAGCATGATAAATGTGATCGTTTTAGACATTTGTTGCACATAAAGGCGACTAATTTGCCAATCATAACGGACTTCTACTCTGCCAATAATAATGTTTCATTTCCTCAGTGAGTCCTTGTAAATCACATCCCTGTAAAAATGGTGGAACATGCACAATGACGAGTCTTGATTCATTCTCATGCAAATGCACTGATGACTTTGAAGGAGACACCTGCGAAAAGCGTGAGTAAACTTTTAACAGTACATCAGTTATATTCAACGAGTGCTTTTTTGCATGTGTAGATTGATTTCGTAAAGAACATAACACAATTACTGTGATTCTTCTACAGGGCTCCCTTGTCTACCTGGCAAAAAGACGGACGATCCTCAAGGCCGGTGCTGTGTTTTTCCTTTTGAGTATGGAGGAGTAACTTACCAATCTTGTACCAACGGATGGTGTTCCTTTGACGAAGTTTACGTGGGAAACTGGGCCAACTGCGGTAAGGAATAAAAGTTATAAATTTAGAAATAATAAATTCAATAAAGAAGGTTTTTGAAGCGGTTATTACCTTTATGGACCGGCTGTAAGAAACAAAATAGCATTCAACGCTAACCCTTCACAATATCGACAATCTCCTTTCAGCATTATAAGACAGTTTGTTTTTCTATAATATCTAAGCGACTGTTGATGAAAACAGGCAACATTTCCCATTATGCTGACGGGGAGAGTTAAACGAAAACTGGTTCAGAGTTAGCTTTCAATCCTCTCTGCTACTTAACAAGCTTGTGTTGACTCAAAAACTTTTATGGAGTTGATATGGGTTACCCTTTTCCGTACAACATGTAGGGGGGAGAAAAATGCTAAATACTGTTTTGAGAGCTTGAGGTTGTGATTTGTTCATGTGCCAGTTTTTCAAAATAGTCTCTTGGAAATTTTAGTTGATAGTCAACGAAGTGTGTTTGGTTTCCCTCAGCGAGCCATAAAATTTTCACTAGACACTAATCATTACTTTTGATGTGTCAATAGCACTTAAACACCTTTGCATGTTTCATTTCCTGAGATGAAGCCCTCCATATTTAAGGTACTTTTCTGTGTGGAAAATCAAAGTCACCTACCTCAACAAATAAATAAGCCATCCTACTAGTGTAGCCCCAGCTGCATCCTCGACGAACGCAGTTGGTGTGACGGGCATGATCTTATGGGATACACTGTTCCGGTTAGGGATATGAATTCACCTTTTGTCCCAGAGGGGCTTAAGTGCAACTTCCATTTCATATTTTTGCTTATGCTTTACTTGGTAATGTAATGTTTCCAATGATCTATGACAAAGCGCAAAAGGTTCCCCTTTCTTCCACCAATTCGAGTAAATGACAGTAGTTGTCTATCTTCCTGTCAACGGAAAATGACCCTAAGCAAAAACTCTCTTGCGTTTTGCTACTCTTCCAAATTCTATTTGAGGAGTTTCTATTATTTAGTCTTTCACAGCTCATTGTGATGCTATGATTTGATGGGTTATTTTGTGATCATGGATTATTGTTGACATTCTTTTGCAACAGTTGATGAATGTGAGTCATCTCCTTGTAAGAATGGAGCAAGTTGTAAGATTACTCAAGATGGTTACAGTTGTCAGCCATGTCCTGCAGGATGGGATGGGAAAAACTGTGATGAAGGTTTGATGCGTCTTTGAATTAACTATCTTTTTGGTCTTGGGAAATCACTTACGGCCAGCAGCTTAGTCCCCTTTCAAAGGAAAGTCTCCTCAATTGTTTTTTTCTAAGAGAATGAATAAAAATTTTGTTTGTCCAAACCTTTTCGGTTGCCTATGGTGTCAGTGTTCCTCAGTATGGTATTTGCCTGTGTAGGTCCTGCGGACGATCCTCGCGTTGTCTGGCAAGCTCAGTTTGAACTAGAGCAATGCTACCAGTTCTTTTACTCGCTAATCTAGGCTCTGAGGATGAACTCTTTTTGTGGGTAGTCTGTACTGCCATATGCGCTAAAAGACACTCGACGTGCGAAAGCAACGTTGATATGCGCGTCGGATTTCAACAGTAAATGGTCTAGAGCCATTGAAAGTTACCATTACTTCCAACTTTTTCATCCTTCCAACTTTTTCATCCTTCCAACTAATTGGTGAAACAACGTTCTCATTTTAAATGTCTTCAAATCACTTCAAATCTATACGCTTTCTGGGCGAAGCCAATCAACTTTTATAGTCATTACAATTAACGACGTCTGAGTTAGCCCTCTCATGGAACAAATAAAGGGTTTCGAAGAGGAAACTAAAGATTCTCTGTGTTTTGTCTTTAAGTTTATGTCGCTGTCTCATCAAATTTGAGCGTAAATATAAAGCACAGAGTTTATATTTACGATTAATACATAAAAAATTGCTACCCACACGACACTAAATAACCTTCAAAAAGTAGCTTTTATTAAAGCAGACAGGATTCCGACAAATTCTTCACTTACTTTAACAACTGTTAAATTCATTTGGAATCCCTCGGCTGATAACCTCAGTTGCATTTTCGCCACAGATCAAACCCTCTTGTGACCATACCTCGTTTCATCCAGTTTGCCTTCAAAGTAGGATTCGGAGTATTTCCATAAGAATCAAGGATTCACCAAGATTAGTTTTTTTTCAGTCCTTTATGTTTCTGCCGAGACCTAAGGTTGAAATTTTGAACAATTTATAGTCAAACATGGACTAAAAAAGTCAGACTTCTCAATGGACAGATGCTTTCATCCATCTGTTTGTTTGTTTTTTCCACCAGACTCGGACTCAAGTTTTTCCACAAGAATTGAGGGTTCACCAAGATTTTTTTTCAGTCCTTTATGTTCCTACTGAGACCTTTGGTGGAAATTTTGAACAGTGTTTAGTCAAACATAGACTACAAAAGTCAGACTTATCACTTGACAGATGTTTTAATCCATATGTTTGTTTTTTTTCCACCAAATTCGAACTCAACATTTTGGCCCATTGGCTTCTTCCAAATTCGTTTGTTGCAGTCACGTGGAAATCTGAAGGATGTTTCAAAGAGCACAAGAGGAAAGCGAAAATGGTTATCGGACGTAAAATCGCTACCATCCATGGAAAGAAACTAAGCATTCAAGACGTATTTGATAAGTGCAAAATTGCAGCGGAAAAGAAAGGTTTCAAGATTTTTGGTATTCGAGTGAGTGAAAAAGATTTGTTTAACTTAGTCTAACATTCATAAGACTATTTAATTATTTTCCATGAGCAAGTGTGTGGGATATCTGACTCAGTCGAACGAAACACTCGGTTGTATAAACATAACTAAAGTTGCAGTACACCCCTTTGGGCTTGGTTTGTAGTGATCGTTTTAAAAACGTTGCAAATGGGATTTTCATTAGGTAACTCACAAGGTAGACTGTAATCTTGATTCCCGACCATTTTTAATCTTCTTCTCTATTTGTTGTACAGAACAGGAACAGGTGTTTCACAACAAGTGATGGAAAAGTGCAGGAGTTTAAAAAGTATGGAGTATCATCCAAATGCAAGATAGATGACAACGGTCTTGGTGTGGGAATGAAACTCACCAACTTTGTCTACACCAGGTAACTTGGATAGGGACTTTTGTTCATATTCTCTTCAATGTTAATTCTCAATGCTAAAAGTATAGCAAAGAATAAAAGCCAGAACAACAGAAGTAACAACTATTTATTTTCACTGAAGCATCTGAGCGGGTCAGAATCTTAAATTCTCAGATCTGTCTAGGTCAGTCCTTATGAGAAGAAACTGTGGGAGGGGGATGGGGGGGTTTGCACCGTCGTATTTAAATTTTTTAAAATTTAAAATCGGTGTTATTTTAAAATAACACCGATCTTAATAGTCTGGATACCAATTAGAAGAAGAAAATTAACAAACACTATAAAAAAAAACGATCATCAAGAATGTAAGGCAAGTCACGAGTAAGATAAAATTTAAGTAGGGACATTTAAACAACACTGCACAGGAGCTCAATATTAAAATAAACGATATTTTTATTACCGTAATGATTCGATTTAGCTCCTGGGCGCTTGTTTACTTTTGATACCTCAAGGGAGGGTGCCCATCGGACACAGGGGGCTTATTAGGGACAAGACGTTATTTTATTTTTTTTTGAGGAAGAGCATAATGTACAAACAAAGCTTTGACATTTATTTTGAAAAGGATCAAAAACAGACTGGTTCCCCCTGGATCCTTGGTGAACCTTCCTGGATAGAACGACCAGCGGCAGCCAGCTGCACGCAATTGTGACAAAATTTTAAAATGAGTGATAAATTAAATAGATGAGAGAGCTTATTAGAGAGGGTGCGCTTATTATAGCGAGAGCGGTAAATCGAATCATTACGGTATCACGATTATTTATCACACAGCCATGAACATAAAATTTCTATTGTCAACATGATAAATCGAGTTTTTATCTTAAATAATCTTTTCTAATCTTTTCCTTAGGCCGTAAAGATAGACTCAATGCAGAAATGCAGCAATGCACAAAATGGATTGGATGGAATTAGAAGTTCTACCTGAGTAAATTGAAAATCTTGTTGGGTTAAGGGTTTTAATTCATTAAAGGGTTAATCTGAACTAAATAAAAAACGCGGCACAAATGGGAAGAGTGTTTATCATCTTTTATTGAAACTATAGCAACCTTCTACGTTAACTTGTTTTCCTTGAGAGGAAGTCGCAAGCCATAAGTTCTTTGGAAGCAATAGGCGAACCTACGTTTTTTTTCTGTATCTCTTTGTTGCTTATGATTGGGATTTTTGAAGTTGTCGTCAAGATTAATGTTGTAGTATAGTTGGTGTTTTCAGACAATAGAACGGGTGATCATATGAAAATTGAAGTCTCCCACAAGATGGTTAGCATGTAAGAATGAAGACTCAGGAAATCTGAGAACTTCGACAGGAAAACGTTTAAAGTTCTAGTTCGCCATGCTCAGACGGTAGTAAATTATTTTTCCCTTAAATACTGCAAATATAAAACCACGCACCTTAATGGTTGGATGGGCAGGTGAACCAAACTGACTTTTATTTCGCATTTCAGTTCAAATAGTAGTAAGCAATTAGTATAAAGTTGGAAAGTTATAATCGGATTTCTACAAACTCAGCGGCCAAGTTTCTTGTAAAGTTGTAGAAGTGCTTTCTAGAAAATAGATATCATTGACGACTTGTAACTTTTGCAGTCTGTGCAACTTTAGCAATCTCTCTTAAAATATTCGCGACTACGGGAGAAACGAGTAAAGGAGGCACGAGTCGCACACCAGACTATAAACCTAAAATCTCTTTCCCGTATTTCTTCGCTGTAGAGTCTGCCTTAGATCTTTTAAATGTAAAAATAAGATCCTCTTCGTGAAGCTTCACGCGAACTAGTAAAAACTTTCGTCTGCGTCAAAAAAATGGCACAAAACGAGAACGATAAACAAAACATTAGACTTTACTCATTAAAATTGCAAAACTAAGGTACATTTAGGTATGAAAACAACGTGGCCTCCAAAAATGGCAACTAGCAACATTTAACGAAGACCGCCAACAAGCGGAGTGGTAATTCCGATTCGGCCAGTGCCCCTTCTTTGCGGAGTGGTAATTCCGATCCGGCCAGTGCCCCTTCTTATCAGCAAACATAGTTCGGTGACAAGCGTCCCATCCATCGCCTGGTTGGCCTTACCAGAAACGCACAATTATTCGCCAATATTAGTAGAAAGAAAAAAGCAGGTCCGTGGGCGGGAATTGAAGAAACGTCAGAATCAACAACGTCAGCGAGACTAATCGATCAATTCCGTAGAACCCCCTAAATGACCACGCCAAAAAATCACAAAATCATCTCTCGAGTTTTTTCAAATTGATATAAAATGTTCAGTGAAACCACAGATAAATAAATAACAGCTTACACCCAGTAGACCATGGGCTAGGGAATATAAACAATTTTTTTTTCTCTTGACCATGGAATACTCAAAATTATTGCGGAAAGAGCCATTGGAAGCCGGAATTTACTTTGCTTAAGCTTTACTGTAACTCAATCTCATTTAAAATTTCCTTAGTAATTTAAATAAACTTAAGATTTTCAATTATAATAATTATCGAAAATTTTAACCATTTAGTACAGTATTGAAAGAACAGTGAAATTCTTAAAGTCAGTTTGTAACTGTTCTTAGGAAATTATGTTTCGACAGCCGCATACCGCTTTGGTTTAGCCGCGCTGTTTCATTTTCCTTTCTCCGCGAGTGAATTGCGCCCCAAATTTTCAAAGTTCTCAAAAAATCTTAAAATAAACTACATAACATTCACGTGAGGAAATGATCCTCGCAGTTGAGCGGCAGTTAGAGGTCTTAGAGTAATTGCGGATAAAAAGCTTAAAAAAAATTGGGCCAGGACAGATTTCGAACCTTTCTTCAAAGTTTTTTTGAATGAGAGTACAATGTTTCGTTAAACTGTGATTTAAAGGCGATTTATCACTTGGGCACATCCTTTCATGAAGTTCCCCTCATGGCTAACGCGGTCAAATTTTAAATTTTCCATTACCATCGTCCAAGCAATAAAACCTTTATTCAAACACATATCGACACCCTAAACTGGCATCTATCGGATCTACTTTGATGTCGATTAATGAAGATTTGAGTATTCATTCATCGCCAATAAGTTGAGCCGAAACTCTGAGCAAGAGAAGACGTTTATTGACCGAAGACAAGAAGCATATCTAAAACGAACGAGCAGGCAAAAAAAGGTAACAAAGGAGCCGCGCTAATTATGCGCCAACCGTGTGACAATGAGGCTAACTAAACAACGGTGTGCATACGAGGCGGAATAATATAACAGACTAAACGACAGCGTGCACAATGCGTCACGCCATGCGAGCTAACGGCGGGAACTAAACGACAATGCGAAATATGGCGCATGTATTTGCGTTTGAGTAGCAGCTCTGTCATGTTTATCTTGATTAAGAGGGAACGTAAAAAAGCAATATTACCTTTTTTTTGCAAATTGCATAGGTCTATTTAACGCGGTTTAACACGATTACGAAAATATAAATCTTGAAATACGGCCACAGAAAGCTCCAATGATAGAAGAAGTTGACGTTAAGATGTGTTTTATGATGACGATTCTTTTGAAAAATTGTGAACGGAGAGCCGAAATGTAGGAAAACTGCAATCAAACTCAAGCACTATTAATATTTTAATTTTCTGAAAAGCGCCGTTTTAACTAGTGTGACGTTTTGCGGTTACCACTATTATCATCAGACAAAAGCTCTTTTTCTCGCCTCAATCGCGAGGGGATCACGCAGATAATCATAACATGTCATACAATTAAAACAACGACACAAACAGAATATCTGTCATGAATGGTGATGTCAATTACTGGAAAATTCACCCCCAAGCTTCGTTTGCTCTAAAATGAGTCGGTTTCTTATTTGGGTACTGTATTGATTGATGGAATTTTTTTTTTAATTCAAGTTGAAAACGTCCCCTTTGAATTGCAAATCTACTCTACATAATTTCTGATTTCAATACACGTACTGGTTTAAACAGTTATGGTAGTCAATCGGGAAACTGAAAGAGTTGTGCCTTAAGTTTTGTCAGTGATGCTCATTTGTCTGTCGGCTGGTTCCTTGAGCTGTTTAGCCGTATGGAACTTCTAAGAGCATTATTTTGTTTCTGCCAATTTTGTACGTTTATTCCTAAGCGGTGTGATGTGATTATATAAATACAAGTCTTAAAATACGAGCATAACGTCCCACCAAACTTCAGTGGGCTTCATTGAAACCTCAGTTGGTAGAACAAGTTGTCGTTAAGATGTCTTATGTAATGACGTTTTGTTTGAAAAATTGATCCTAGTGAGAAATACACAAATCATCTCCTCCGCTTTTCTACTTGCAATGAGAACAGCGAGTTGCTCTCGATGATAGCTGCTAGGCGACCCGGCTCACTTCTGGTTCAACCTCGAGAATGTTGAGAACAACATTAATAGCGTCTTTTTCATTCATATCCATTTTATATGTTAAAAGTCAAAATTTATACTGAAAGATGGCGAACTGAGAATCTGAGACGTGAATACTTTTCATTCTTGAGCTTTGCTATCAATTAATTCTGCTCATCTTTCATCAACTCACCCGCGTAATTGTTGAAAATGATCTTCATATCCTTAGCAGATGGTGTGTAGAGAAACTAAGGCAGCAGTGTTCTTTCCAAATGATTTTGCGATGCTTGTCATCTGTTGTGTGAGGACCCAAACGCTGATTTCCTTATGACTTGCCTGAATGGAATGTTATCAATATTCATATTTCTTATCGATTTAATTGATAAGCTCTTCGAGCCGGGCCGCGGAGTGGTAGTGACCATGAGTAAAAGTTTTCCTCATTTCCATGTTTCCGCGAAATAAGCAGTCTTGTAGTCTTTATAAGTTATATTCTTCTTTATTACGGCCTTCTTAATACCTTTTCACTTTTTCTCCTCTTTTGCCTCAAACATCTTGTAGCTGTAGTGTTTGCTCTCAATCCAACAAAGTCTTCAACGACCTTTCCACCAGCTTCATCCTTCATCATTCTCACGACCTTCTTGTTGCGACCATTTGGGGTCCCTGACA